TCATCTTCATCAGACGGTGGTTTTTTCAACGCCGCTTCCTTATTCTTCTCTGCATCCCCGACCGCATCTCTCCAGGCGGTCAGGTCTTTGCCGGTGACTTCCCTCGCCTTTTCCAGTGCGTCGAGGAAGGAGTCATAGTATGCGCTACTGTTTCCGGCCTCTTTCTGCAAGTCGAAGGAGTATGTATGTGTCGACGATTGAGACGTTGACGACGCCGGAGAGGTGACGCCGGAAGGAAGGTCGAAGGAGTAGGTAATTTCGATGCTGGATTGATTCGAAGTCATGGTTCGTACGGTATCAGCAGAGCGAAAGAGCTTGTGAAAAGCGGCGCTATTGTGTTGGTTTAGCTTTTGCATGCCTCGTTACTTTAATCTCTCGGGATATCACAACGGCCGTCTGGCGCAATGGCAGCGCGTCCGCCTACGATATGGTTCTGGCCCTACCCAGGGGTTGAACCTGATAGCGGGAGGTTGCAGGTTCAACCCCTGCGTCGGTCATGTGATCTTTTTGACATTAAATTTTGCTATTTTTAGGGTTAGAGCACTGTTTTTCACTCAGTTTCCGGTTTTTAAATGGCCGGTAATTTTTGGCTGGCTTGATTAGTGCAGTCCAGGCTCAGATCTCCCAGTACCAGGGCTAGACATCGATGCCTGACTTGTATTGGTGCTTGTAGTATATGATATCTTATCTCTTTCTATTTTTTCATCTTATCTCAATGTTATCTCATGAGATAAAGTCATAGGGGCTCTCGTTAGGTGTCCGGAATTCGTCCTGTAACGATTGGAACATCTACATTCCCACGTCCTAACGGCAGGACCTTGAAAACGAAAACGACCATGAGCACCACCAATTCCGTATTTGCAATTCCAGAACCAATCCGCAAGTTCTTTTCGCTCTTCCCGCTCCATACATACCCAGCGCCGGAAAATCCCTACTCGAAACAAATCACCAAACCAACGTTATGGATCCAACCTCCACGAAAACTTGAGCTGGACGGACAAGATTATTTCAGTCGCGACGTCGAATGTCTGAAATGGCAAGCCTACCTCTCCTTGAGGGGAATAACGGATTTCGATGTGCGCTGGGATGTGGCCGAAGAAGCTGGTGTTGGTGGACATCTCCCGACTTTACAGCTGCCTAACGGCAAGCTTCTCAGCACACTACGAATCCCTATGTGGGCAGATACCGTCCAAAACAGTTCAATCGACGCTTTAGAAGGGTATAAAGACGCGGAGGCTAGGGATGAAAGTCGGGCGTGGGTTTCTCTGTTAGAGGGTGCGGTCCATTCCGAATTGGTATGAGTCTTGCCTCGTTCTCGCCGCATCACCCGCTAACGGACACATCCCCCCGCAGGAAATAGCAAATCCGAAAGAACATACCTTGGCTTCCGTGCTCTCGGAAGGTCCCCGACGGGCTCTAGAGACCGTCGTTCATCCGCCGCCAGCCCCGTTGTCGGGTATTTCCACACCATTCCCGCCGTCTGGTGTCCAAATTCCAAGCTATCCGGTCCACTTGCGATACAGAAAGGCAATTCAGTCGCTCTCTGATCGACTGGGTACGGACGAGTGGCTGCTAGGGTCGAGGTGCGTAGGAAATTTTGCAGCGCCTAACAACGCTCCTCACACACCTTGCTTGATGTCGGTCTAGCGCCCCGACCGCTCTGGATGCACTGCTCTTTGCTTATCTCTACACCGCTCTTCAGAGTCCTCCGGCCGTTAGGAGAGAAGTGGAACGACACCCCAACCTCGTCAACTGGGAAAGCCGGGTAGGGTCATTGGTTACTCCCCCTAAACAAGATGACATATGATAATCTACGTTATTTCGCCAAATAATCGTTTGAGTCGCATAAGCCTCTATCCCGATTAGCCAAACGAACAGGAGATGTTTTGGTTGTTCGCCCAGTCGTGACCCAGACTGTACCAGAGATTAGATAGTTCAGCCACCTGCAACCTCAGCTGAACGCTAACCGAAGGAGAAATCCAAGTCTAGCACCATACTTGCTCGAAATTGGTGGATGTGAAACTCGCAACGAGACTCTCGCTAAGCGAGCCGGCGAAGTGAATTATTTTGCTAACTGCCAAGGATTCGACCCCATCACGTATGACTTATACCGCCTCTTACATCGCGTGGTACGCGAACATCGCCAACACAGCCGCTGAATACGCCCAGTTTTACGGTCGCCTTGGCTGTGTGTTGGGTGTGTGCCCCACTCTGACCGAGTAAAGGTACCTGGTGGCCACGTGGTGCACCCATGGCCAATTAATTTGTCCAGTCCTTAGCCCTTCCAGGAGAAGATATCATGGGGGCATTTGCCCACAGAAATAAGCGTATATATAAGCCATTTTAAACTTGGTTAGCACTACATAATACACGGGCGACAGCAAGACAGCTTTATGACAGCGGTCGTGTTGGCGGAAGGATGAAGAACTTGAAGTCGCGAAGCCCCATTCTGCCAACTCTTAGGTCGTACACCTCTTATTGGAGGGTTTGAAGCAATCAGCATGGACTACTGCATTCTCCTCAGAGCAAATACTCTCCTCTCCGTAGACTACTCGGAATATGACAATGACTAACCTCTACTAGTAGTAAAGGGCAGAAACAAGTGTTCCGCCCACAGTCTTTCAGATTGAGCATGCACACGTCACGACGGGATGTTGAACCTAGTTTCCGACTGCAAACAATTACCAGAAACAATGATCTACCGCGGCGACTGCTGGAACATCACCGAATAATCATGTTCTCAATCATTGGCGAGGAGCTGTCACTGTCCGCGCGATCGGGCGATTTAAGTTTCAAAGCATATGCATGCTCCCGCTCACGCCCATGAATGAGCGTAAAAATGCCGCCCATACTCCGAGGGCACTCATCTATGCTCTCAGAAGCTCCGCGACGGGTTCTCACCCGCCCTTTTATCCGGTATTTCCACGCCATTCCCTCGACCCGGTGTTGGTGTTTTGAGCTATCCGGTCCTCTTCTGATACCGGAAGGTAACAAAGCCGTTCTCCAACTGATGGGTACAGGCAAGTGCCTGCTAGCCTGAGGGTCGAGGTACGCGTGAACTTCTACAGTGTCTTACAACGCTCCTCGCGCACCCTAGCGGGTGTTGTTCTAGTCCACCAACTGCTTTATATGCACTGCTCTTTGCTTATTTCTGCAACATTTATCAGAGCCCTTCGGCCATCAGAAGAGAAGTGGAACGATACCCTAAACTCGTCAACTGGGAAAGCCGGGTTCGGTCATTGGTTAATACCCTCCAAACAGAAACTGTAATATGCTATTTCACCGAATGATTATTAAATCATCGCATAAAATCCTGCCTTGGAGAGCTGGGCTAGCAAGGCTACGTCGGTTGTCGTTCAGTCGTAACCTTAAGCTGCATCAAGATTGGATCGTTTATATTCAGCCACCCGTCACTAGCGGTCGAAGCACAATAAGCCCGCTCCGCCCAATGCAGCAGCCCCATATTGACGCCAATACTTCGATATTACCTATATACGCATGCACATGATAGTCTAGTCCAGCATTCTTCGCACGTACGTTAGTAGTCCCTCTGGATACGAAAACGGCATATTCAAGGGAAGCGCGGCCCATCCGGAGCGACACCGGGCCTTCGATACCCATGATTTCAGCTGCTTGCCCAGGTGCCGAGCCAAACGAGATAGAATACCTAAGGTATATAAGATGGTGGTTACATCGACTGTCCGCCCAGCATCGATCAACGTGCTTTTCCTCACTTCCACAGTCACTCCCTTGACAACTCTCTCTAGCATGAAGCTCTCCACTCTTTTCATTACCTCACTCTCTTTCATCCCTTCTTTGATCACTGCAGTCGCCATCTCCGATGTCGCTTCTCGTAACGAGACTCTCACCAAGCGAGGCGGCGAAGTGAATTATCTTTCTAACTGCTTACGATGGATCGCCGGCACGGCGGACTCGTACACGGCTTCTTACGTCGCTTGGTACGCGAACGTCGACAACTCTCAGAGTGGATACGATGTACGTTGGTATATATGAACTTTCTGTGTTATCGACATAGCCGGACTGATTGGCTCCGTCCTGCTGCGACTCAGCGCCCCGATTCACTGTCCAACGAGTACAGAAATTGGGCCGCTGGAGGTGAGCTGACCTAGAATTACAATCGCATGATAGATACTAATTAATTATTATCCTCAGGCGACTACCTTCACTGGGAAGGGCAACAACAGGACATCTATTTCTCTGACTCCGGAGTCACTGTCCAGACACACATCGACAGCGACGCCCAAAGCCGAGCGTTTACCGCCTACGCTGGATGGGCTCAACGTACCTCTGATGGCAAAGTCTTCAATTGCTACAAGGTACCCGTTTGACTCTAGAACATGGAGATACCAAGCTTTATTGACATGGGTGCACAAATTGTCTAGGACAACGGTCGCCAGCTCTTCCAGTGGGCTCCTCCAGTCCCAGATGCGACCAATCGAGCTATCATCTGCAACGCTATATACTGGTGTGTCTAGTTAATCGAGCCTCGAGGCTTTCTCTGTATAAATTCGTCAAGCGCGCGAAAACATTATTCGCACCTGTCTGCGCGGAATCGTCCTCTTGATGCCCATCGTGGTACAGTAAAATCTCTATTCACTCAGAAGTCTACGTATTTCACGACTTGTGGTATACATAAAATGCCTTCGCGGATATTAGAGATCAGAAGGAGTCGCCGAATTTTCGCGCTGTCCCGGTTATCTCGGCTACTAGTATCGCATACCAGCCGGGTTGAGGTTCACTATTAGCAACATCTTCGCTCCGAAGACCGACGGTGACTTAAACAAGCAACCTACCTGGATACTGGGTGTTCATGAAAAGACCGGAACTGCTTCTGTCCACTGAAGGTCCCTGTCCATCACAGCACGACCGTCGAATTCTCCGCCATATCGCGCAGTCTACAAGCACCAAAAACGAAGCTACATATAAGGTTGAGCTTCGGACATACAGGACTTTGGCTCAAGAAGCTCAAACTAATTACTCAGAAGACCTCCCCTGGATTCCAAAACACGCCTTCCTCTCCCTGCAGATCTAAGCCTACAGCGACCCCATCCGTCTCGAACTCGAATTCTACTTTGGACCTAATCCATCGGACTAAATCCACTTTTTCACGCCAGACAGTCTTTGACCGTATGACAACTTGACCTGGTTTCCGACACTGTAGGCCCACGTACTCCAACGCTGGTCTCATGAGGACCAAGTCCCGCACTTGTTCAAAACTAGCGCAGGCAAGATGCAAGTGCCTAAGTCTAGGGCAGAACCGTGGGGAGCTATTATAGGTCTCATCGAGTGATTCGGACAAGGCGAGGACCAAATTATCCGCCTCCTCGGGTAGCAAGTACTCTTCCTGGTCGGGTGCAGAGCCCGTATAGCAGTTATATTTGAAGTATTCAATGTTGGGACAATGTTGCAGGAGGTGACGGAGATTTGGTGTCTCATTCGTTGTGTCCCAATCTGTATACCAGGTTAGCTCGTGGAG